TAAATTTGTACTGCTAGTTAGAACCTTTATTTATGTTAGTAGTATATGACTTCCCAGACCTTCAAAGGAGAGCTATCCAGGTTCAAGTACTATGACTTCCATTGGGGTCAATTTAAGATTAGCATAAAAAATACAATAGCTTCATTTTTTTTTTTTTTTTTATAACATTTTACATGCGTCTGAATCGCAGCAAACACAGTAGCTCTTCAGCTTTGCCGCTAGTTTTGATTTTGTTTTGACAAGCTACTGGGATTAGAATGTGTTGACAAAAAAACTCAGTAAATCGATGAATTTGAAAAGAACCACAGTATTTAATTTCAGTTTGAAATTCGTATATATTGTGGTAGTTAGTCCTGGAATACACAAACACAGTATGTATCCATACTTACAGTATGTATATATGCATTATGTATCCATATACATATATATGTATTCCAAGGCGTGTCACTGCATATTACCCTTTAAGGTGCCAGTGTGGGAAGGGTAATTGTGTTTTCAGCGAGTGGATTCAGCCGCTCAACCTCCTCTCGGATAGCTATGCGGCCGTTGTTGATCCTGTCCAGCAGCTGCTGCGTGTCGCCTCGGGCTCGTGGCAGCAGCGCCCTGGTTCCGTCCGTGATCCTCTTCCCCGTCTGCGCGATCAGGTCGATCAGGTCGTCGAACTCTTCGATGAAGCTGTTGGCGCTGACGGTGCCGCTGTCTATTTGGTCAGCGTTTTCGTCGTCGACAGGGGCTGTGGCGTCGCTGAGGAACTGGATGTACCTGGTCAGCAAGTCTTCGGCGTCGATGCGGTCCTGAGGCGGTGTCGTGCTGGGGGCGGAGGTTGTGGAGCCAGTTGTGGCAGAGTCACCTGTGGTTGTGGAGCCAGTTGTGGCAGAGTCACCTGTGGTTGTGGAGCCAGTTGTGGCAGAGTCACCTGTGGTTGTGGAGCCAGTTGTGGCAGTCACCTGTGGTTGTGGAGCCAGTTGTGGCAGAGTCACCTGTGGTTGTGGAGCCAGTTGTGGCAGAGTCACCTGTGGTTGTGGAGCCAGTTGTGGCAGAGTCACCTGTGGTTGTGGAGCCAGTTGTGTCACCTGTGGTTGTTTCAGGCGTGGAACCCGTTGCTGTGGAATCAGCCGTAGTTGCATCGGTTGTGGTGACATCCGATGTAGTTGCATCGGTTGTGGTGACATCCGATGTAGTTGCATCGGTTGTGGTAACATCCGATGTAGTTGCATCGGTTGTAGTGACATCAGCTGTAGTGGCATCGGTTGTAGTGATATCAGCTGTAGTGGCATCGGTTGTAGTGACATCCGATGTAGCATCGGTTGTAGTGACATCCCATCTTGTAGTGACATCGTAGTTGCATCCGTTGTAGTGGACATTGTAGTGACATCCGATGTAGTTGCATCGGTTGTGTGACATCCGATGTAGTTTCGTGACATCCGATGTAGTTGCATCGGTTTGTAGTGACATCCGCATCGGTTGTAGTGCAGTTGCATCGGTTGTGGTGACATCGGTTGTAGTGGCATCAGTTGTAGTGGCATCCATCCATCGGTTGTAGTGGCATCAGTTGTAGTAGCATTGTAGTGGCATCAGTTGTAGTGGCATCAGTTGTTGTGGCATCGGTTGTAGTGGCATCGGTTGTAGTGGCATCAGTTGTGGTGTCATCGGTTGTAGTGGCATCAGTTGTAGTTGCATCAGTGCATCGTTGTAGTATCGGTTGTTGTGGCATCGCATCGGTTGTAGTGGCATCAGTTGTGTGGGTGGTGCATCGGTTGTAGTGGCATCAGTTGTGGTGGCATCAGTTGTGTGGCATCAGTTGTAGTGGCATCGGTTGTTTCAGTTGTAGTGGCATCAGTTGTGGTGGCATCGGTGTAGTGCATCATGGCATCAGTTGTAGTGGCATCGGTTGTAGTGGCATCAGTTGTGGTGGCATCGGTTGTAGTGGCATCAGTTGTGGTGGCATCGGTTGTGGCATCAGTTGTGTGGCATCGGTTGTAGTGGCATCCATCAGTTTGGCATCGGTTGTAGTGGCATCAGTTGTGGTGGCATCGGTTGTAGTGGCATCCATCATGTTGTAGTGGCATCAGTGTGGTGGCATCGGTTGTAGTGGCATCAGTTGTAGTCATCGCATCAGTTGTAGTGGCATCGGTTGTAGTGGCATCAGCATCGGTTGTAGTGGCATCAGTTGTGTGGCATCGTACTGGTTGCTGGGTTGGGAGCCTGCCTCCGAATGTGGTGCCGAGTCTGTCGCTGGCCTCGTCCAGGCCGCTTCCAGAGCCCCCAGGAAGGGTCGATGGTTGCGAGCTCTAGAAGCCTTGCAGTTACGTTGAAGGCAAGAGTGGTGGTAGGTATGGTTGTAGTTGTGACTGCAGGCGTTGTAGTCTGTAGTTGGATTAGGGGTTGTAGTAGGATAGGAGTTGGTAGGATTAGGAGTTGTAGTTGTTGTCAGGATTAGGAGTTGTGTAGGATTAGGAGTTGTGTAGTTAGGATGTAGGATTAGGGTAGGATTAGGAGTTGTAGTAGGATTAGGATAGGAGTTGTAGTAGGATTAGGAGTTGTAGTGATTAGAGTAGGATTGTAGTAGGATTAGAGGTGGTTTAGGAGTTGTAGTAGGATTAGAAGTTGTGGTAGGATTAGGAGTGTAGTAGGATTAGGAGTGTGGTAGGATTAGGAGTCGTGGTAGGATTAGGAGTTGTGGTAGGATTAGGAGTTGTGGTAGGATTAGGAGTTGTGGTAGGATTAGGAGGTAGGATTAGGAGTTGTGGTAGGATTAGGAGTTGTGGTAGGATTAGGAGTTGTGGTAGGATTAGTTGTGTAGGATTTGTAGGGGATTAGGAGTTTGGTAGGATTAGGAGTTGTAGTAGGATTAGGAGTTGTGATAGGATTAGGAGTTGTGGTAGGATTAGGAGTTGTAGTAGGCCCAAGATTTGATGGTGTGGTTTGTGGTTGTCCTGTGTTTGTGTTCCAGCAGTGGTCTGAGGTTGGGCCCAGCAGTGGTTTGAGTTTGCGGTCCAGAAGAGGTTTGCGGCTGCGGTCCGGGAGAGGTTTGCGGTTGCGGTCCGGGAGTGGTTTGTGGTTGCGGTCCAGGAGAGGTTTGCGGTTGCGGTCCAGGAGAGGTTTGCGGTTGCGGTCCAGGAGAGGTTTGCGGTTTGATCCGGTCCAGGAGAGGTTTGCGGCTGAGGTCCAGAAGAGGTTTGCGGCTGCGGTCCGGGAGTGGTTTGCGGTTGCGGTCCAGGAGACGTTTGCGGTTGCGGTCCAGGAGACAGGAGAGGTTTGCGGTTGCGGTCCAGGAGAGGTTTGCGGTTGTGGTCCAGGAGAGGTTTGCGTTGCGGGAGAGGTTTGCGGTTGCGGTCCAGGAGAGGTTGCGGTTGCGGTCCGCGGTTGCGGTCCAGGAGAGGTTGCGGCTGTTTGCGGCTGCGGTCCAGGTTTGCGGCAGGAGAGGTTTGCGGTTGCGGTCCAGGAGAGTTTGCGGTTGCGGTCCAGGAGAGGTTTTGCGGTCCGGTCCAGGAGAGGTTTGCGGTTGCGGTCCAGGAGAGGTTTGCGGTTGCGGTCCAGGAGAGGTTTGCGGTTGCGGTCCAGGAGAGGTTTGCGGTTGCGGTCCAGGATTTGCGGTGCGGTCCAGGAGAGGTTTGCGGTTGCGGTCCGGGAGTGGTTTGTGGTTGCGGTCCAGTCGTGGTACCTGGGGTCTTTTTGACTAGTGATAGAACACAGAGAATTAGTAACTTAAAACGTTACCAAGTTTTCATTTTTCTATCATTTATAGTAACTTCATAATAATCTTCCACTTTGGGGTAATGTCAGTGTTGTCATTGCTAACATCTTTACTCCCCTGATTCTGATTTTGATTACCATGATCGTAATAATCGCTAGTATTCTCATCTTCATTATCGTTATCATTAATATGAAGATGACAATGGTGATGATGACGATGGACGATGACAATGATGATGACAGTACCGATTCAAATGACTATCATTGTTCCAGTATCATGATTATTAATATTGATATTGCTATTGCTGTTATTTTTATTATGAATATTTTATTGCTATCATAATTAAAATTATATTCACTACTATTATTTTTTTTATTATCATCATTATTATCATCATTACTGATATAGTAATAATAATAATGATGATTATTACTATTATTATTATTATCATTATTATTATTATCAATATTAGCGTTACCTCCGCGAAAGACCTTATGTTTTTGGTAGTATTTGTTAGTTAGTTTGTAGGTTAGCTAGATTTATATGAAATTTTTACTAGAGGTAGACTTTGGTAGTGATACGAATCATGATCATGATCCGGATTCAGGATTTTTAAAGATTATTACATCATTTGCCGCTGTTGCCAGGGTAACTAATTATAATAGTTATAATCGTTGCGACTCTTCAAGTGCGATTTTTTTTCTTTTTTTTTTATCAGTGACACTATTGCCTTGGCGGAGGTATGCGCTCTCTGAGTGCTTCTTATTATCAGTATATATTTTTAGCATCATCATTATTACTATCGTAACTATTATAATTAATAGTAGCATCATCAATATCTTTACTCAATATCACCGATTAAGTGTTAAGATTTTTATCACTATCCTTGATGTCAGAATTATTTTCGTTATTTTCAGGAAAACATTCATTATTACTATAACCATCACCATTACTATTACTTTTGTATCAACATTATCACTATCAAATATTGTATCCTCATTACTGTTGCAACCATCATGATTGTCTTTTCTACCTTAATCAAAGATATCATCAACATGAAAATACACTACAGTATTGTATTGTGCCTTTGTCGGTTCTAATTCCTTTACATGGCAGATTCAGAAATAGCATACAGCTAATGGTTTGTGTATTGAGTTCATGAATCATTCCAACTATTAATTAATTCTGATTTTGAATTTTGTTCCTATCATTATCATCATTATTAGTAGGATCACTGACTTTCGTTTTATCACATTTTGTCATTACATAATCGCGACGATGATCATAACACTGAAATAGAATAACATGAATAGTACATTTCGTATGTGTATATATATATACTTAGAGCCATTTGTGGTCATGCTTATGTGCGTTTGTGTCTGTGCTTTACGTAATTTTCTTTCACTTACCTAGACAGCAGACTTTGGGTTCCTTGCATGGCTTCTTCACCTTGACGATTCTACCGTTGCACTTTCCTTCCTTCTTACACTTCCCTCCTCGGTCGCGACAGGTGCGGATTAAGCAGCATACCTTACCAGCTTTGCACTTCTTGCTGGGGTTTAACACTTTGCTTTGACATGTGTCTTCCTTTTTACACTGTCCACTTAGTGATTTACAAGTTGTTCCCTTTTCACAACAGACCTTACCACTCTTGCACGGTACAGAGGGAGTAAGTATATCCCCGTCGCATTTGGCTTCCTCTCGACATTTACCTCCCAGATCTTTGCATTTGCTTTTTCCTTTTTCACAACAGACCCTACCATTCTTGCATGGTACAGAGGGAGTGAGTACGTCCCCGGTGCATTTGGCTTCCTTTCGACATCTACCTCCCAGATCTTTACATTTATCTTTTCCTTTATTACAACAGACGTTACCATCCTTGCATGGTATAGAGGGAGTAAATATTTGCCCTGTGCATTTGGCTTCCTTTCGACATCTACCTCCCAGATCTTTACATTTATCTTTTCCTTTATTACAACAGACGTTACCATCCTTGCATGGTATAGAGGGAGTAAATATTTGTCCTGTGCATTTGGCTTCCTTTCGACATCTGCCTCCCAGATCTTTACATTTATTATTTCCCTTTTTGCAACAAATCTTTCCATCTTTGCATGGCTTGTTGGGCTTTAAGACTTCCGTGTTGCATTTTGCTTCTTCTTTACAGTTTCCTCCCACTTGTTTGCAGTTCCCTTTCTGTGCTTGCTTGCAGCAGACTCTTCCTTCATTACAACCTTTGATTTTCATGGTCGTTCCCTTACAGTTTTTTACACATCTAAAGCCCTTCGATTTGCAGTTGTTCTTTGTGGTTTTCGTGCAGCATATTTTGTCATTGTCTGGGCATTGGATGGAAAGAGGCTCTTTGCACTTTTTGTTAGATTTCTTGCAAACTCCTCCTGCTGCCGTGCAGTCGTTTGCCTTGGCTATAACTTTGTTCCGAGTCTTTGCAGGGTTTATACAGCACACCTTACCGTTGGGACACACTCTTTTATTATCAAACTGACCGCGGCACTTGGACTTACATCTCCCATAATCCTTCGTACATTTCTTGGAGCCTTTGGAAAATCAGAGAGAAAAGACAAATATTTAAAAAGGCTTTGTCCTGTTGTGATACGATGTAT